TTTTATATAACTTTAAACATCTCAAAGAAACGTTATTAATGGTAATAACTGATAAACATAAGAAAATTACTAACAATTATATTTAAGTATGTAGACTCACTAATAAATTAATTTCTCATAAGAAAATCTACACAAAAATGAGTTTAATTTATTTAACGGATTATTTGTTACATTTGACAATGAAAAAAGTTAAGTGGTTAAAAACTCTAATTATTAATATTACATAAAAATACAATATTTAGAAAACATAAATGGGAGAATCACAAGAAAACACATAAAAGTTATATAATATTTAATTAAAACTTGTGCAATTAACTTTCATAAATCAGCAATTCGTTTTTTTTGTTAGATAATATTTTTAGCTAAAATTTTATTGTATATACGAATAATTGGATGGTTTTTGATAAACGACATGAAAAGATATTACCAGAATTAATTTCAAATAAAGCTTGGAGCAATTATGTATGCTATTAATATTTTTGTCTGATATTTATGAACATTTTTATTGTATAGAAAAGAATAATCATCCAGCAATGAAATGGAAAGAGCGCATTTGAAATTCGATGGAATCTTCGTTTTTTAGAGTTCGGAATGTTCTCATAACGCTTTGTTATTTAACAATGGGTATTCAGAGTATGTTAAATGGAAATATCGAAGAAATACGAAATAATTGATGGAAATAAAATATTATTCAAATATATAATTTATTTCATTTGATTCTATAAGATATTGAACTAAAAAAAAATCATTACTTCTATTTTTTTATTCAAGAATTAATTTATTTGAAATTTAAGAAAAAAATATTTTCATTAATAATGTTTATTCAAATAAAATTTTCTTAGCGATTTAGGCATGATGCAAAACACTAATACTAAATTAGACTTTAAAAGAAACGGAGTAATTTTATTGGAAGATTAATTTATTATTAAACTAGAAATGAAACATTGTTTTTGATCGTTCAAACTTTTAGATGAAATCCAAAAACTGTTAGAACTGTTATTATTAAAGACTAATTAAAAGTGTTGAATTATAATTGGAACTATTGTAAAAAAAACTAAAATCTCAAGAAATTACATTGGAGCTTTGAGAATTCTATATATTCTTATTGGATAAATAAACTATCTCCGAAAAGAGTTTTTAATTGAACTCTTATAGCACAAATAAAATAAGTAAGTTTAGTTCTCTCATTCTGCCTCACATTTCGTTATTAAAATTAAAGATTACGTAGTGTGAATGATAAATAATAATATTTGTAGAAATAAATGTAATATGATTTTTTTTTTCAATATACATATCAAATGTGGAATATAAAAGGTACATGGGAAAATAAATTGTGGTAATTTCAATTAGAAATTTAGCATGTTTCACTAGACACAGATGTTTCTAATTTGGAAACCGGATGAAATTCAAATGAAATCGAGGAACATCCGAGTGAAAATGAAAGAAAAAAAGAACGTGATTTTCAATAACTGATATTAGATACAAACACATTCACGTGTAGACACGTGTTATTAATTTCAATTTGTGCCTTAAAACAGCAAGAATCAATGAGAAAATGAGTTTATTTGCTTTTCTATCGAATAATCGTTTAATCATTATTGCATAATCAACAAATGTTCATTTGACAGCTTATAAAAAAAATGATTTAACAGTTGCATTGTTTTAATTATTACGTGTGTTGAAATTATTTTGATTTATGTGACGTTTTGTTTACATAAATAAAAATCACATTTATTTCATATATATATTCTCGTGCGATCTATGTAAAAATTATTATTAATTCATAATTAATAGAAAACAATAGGAAATTTATTTTTCTATCGAGAAATTATGTAATCATTTTTACACAATCAACAAATGTCTATTTGACAGCTCATGAAACAAATGATTTAACAGTTGCTTTGATTTATTTATTACGTGTGTTGAAATTATTTTGATTAATGTGACGTTTTGTTGTCAGTTCATTATGGAAACAAAAAAGAATATAGATTTTACATAAATAAAAATCATATTTATTTCATATATAAATTCGCATGGGATTTATGTAAAAATTGTTATTAATTCAAAATTAATAGAAAATAATAGGAAATTTTATATTGAGAAATTATGTAATCAGTTTTGAACGTTCAGCAAATGCCTATTTGACAGCTCATAAACAAATGATTTAACAGTTCCTTTGATTTATTTATTACGTGTATTGATATTATTTTGATTTATGTGACGTTTTGTTGTCAGTTCATTATGGCAACAAAAAAAAAAGAATATAGATTTTTACATAAATAAAAATCATATTTATTTCATATATAAATTCGCATGGGTCACATGTAAAAAATGTTATTATTTAAAAATTAATAGAAATCAATACGAAATTTATTTTTCTATCGAGATATTATGTAATCGTTTTTACACAATCAACAAATGTCTATTTGACAGCTCATACAAAATGAATCACTGGTTGCTTTGATTTATTTATTACGTGCATATTTATTGATATTATTTCGATTTATGTGACGTTTTGTTGTCAGTTAATTATCGCAACAAATAAAGAATATATATTTTACATAAATAAAAATCATATTTATTTCATATATAAATTCGCATGGGACAAATTTAAAAATTATTATTAATTGAAAATAAATAAAACAAAATAATCTATTAGATGTTTCTGATTTATGTAAAGATAATAATAATAACATTTATCGCTACAAAATAAAAAAAAATAACATAATAAGAAAATAAATTGATCTGCTGTAAGGATATAAACATATTTTCTTGCAACTATTTTAATATTCAAGAAAGTTGTTGAAAATAAAAATATAATATTGTGGGAAATGTAAGGAGTGTATATATTGAAATTTAGTTCATTCGCGTTGTGTATGATATATAGTTGATGGATACACGAAAATAAAGTGGCTTTCAATATATCTAACGCCATCCTTCAATGTAACGATGCATCTGAAACGCCTACGCCGAATCAATAGGAACATCAATTACATATATATAAAACACTGAAGAAAATGTTCCAGCACATTTAAGAAAGCAAATTGATGCCGGATGAAATATTGTTTAGTATACGGTCTGCGAACAATGGAGAATTTTGAAGGAGGAGGTGGAGGAGGAAGATTTACGAAAATGGAACGATGCGATTTTGAAAACGCAATGTTTTCTATGAGATCAGGATCCCATTCAGCCTCATATTTTACGATTTTTAACCGCCGAGTAAATCAGATATTGTACGAAACATTTTCCAACGAGATTTTTGCTGCGAGATCATATTGAATGCAGGATTTGCGACGGAGCCCTTGATTTCCGAGAGACCTTAAAATTGCGAACGTCTCGTCCCGGATCGCAATACAAAAGACGTAAATACATTCAGCACAATAAGAAAAAAAATGTATTTTATAATCTTAATAATAACAAAAAAAAAATCCCTATTGTCTTGATCTTTTAATTTCATCGATAAATATTTGGTTATCGCAAGGCGTCTTTGTTGCTGAAGGGCTTTATTCTTAAGGACGTCGACAAATTGCTTAGGCATAAATTAGTCAAAGCTGTGCGAGGGGTTGAGGCATTTATTATATATGATAAGTTGAAAAAAGGGGTGGAGGAGGCTTTGATATAAGCTGGAGCCAATTAAAAGTTGCGGACAATGTCGTTCCGACCCGTTCCACTTCGTCCTTGTCTTCTTATCTTTATTTCTCGTCCGATTAAAAATTTCGCAAAGGACTTTCCCCTTTCCGCCCACAGCAAATCCAACCCATTTTTTTCTCTCTTTGTACCAAGCACGTAGCAATTACATCAGAAACTTAAATTAATAATACGTGTCTACACGTTTGAAATAATGGAAAAGTAATGCTGTTGTGTGTTTCGTTTTGCACATTCAAACGCTTCTATTATTCTGGTTATGTTTTATATTATTCTTTCTTTTTTAAATTCACAAACTTAAGTGTATTTGTATATAATAACAGTGGTTGAAAATTTGGGGCAAAAAGACGTTATCTTTTATATAATAATATGATATTATATATATAAGATACTACGTACGCATTTTTACGTATGTGCGTTACGTACAATTAACATTTAAGAAGATAAGGATCAACTAGGAGATTAAATCAAATGATTAGAGAGAAATTAGCAGAAATAAATCAATCAATATTTTTTTTACTATTTTAATTAGCTATTTATTTAACAGTTTAGTCCAAATACTGAAGGATTTACGAATTTTTCTTCATTTCTGAGTATGCACTTTTATGTATGTATCTAATTAATGTAACTTCTGTAATTGATGTTTCTCTTAATCTTCTATTAATGTTTATTACTTTATTTTTGTTTTTCCACGTACAAATAGTATTTTCATAGAATATTTGTACTTAAAATTATATCATCATTTAAAATCAATAAATATATTGTATAATATGAACTATTATGGAATATTTAATGTATTAATTTAATATTTATAAACTTTGTTGTTTACTAATATAAAATTGAAGATAAACATTTTGATCAAAAGGATTAGATTACTTTAAATAGTAGTATCATTGTGTATTTTTTAATTAAGACAAAATTAGACTGTTCTTTTTTTATAGCGTAATTAAATTAAGGAATCAATTGATTCAAATTAATTCATTTTATTTTCGTTTTCAATAAATTATATAAGAACCAATCATTGTTTTGAGTGAGCGTCTTCGTCGAATCCCATCTCCGTTTTAAATAACTAATTTGGAATTTGCACGGGTCGGGTCTAATTGATTTATTATTCGCGGAGGTGGTTGATTAAGTTCGGAGGGTTTCGTAAGGACACCCAGAAAACAAACAGAAGAAGAGAAGAAAAACGAACGAATATCGACCATCTCTCTCGCTCTCTCTCGATGGAGGGGTTGTGAAGAAAACGGGGGAATAGCTGATTCTTCCCCCCTTTTCCACAGTAATAGTAGCTGGAGCGGAGGCAGGCAGGCAGGCAGCAGCAGCATGTTTTATTAATAGAGTAATATCGTTGGCAGGGGCGGCTCTTAGGGAAGGTCGACGCATACTTCAGCTCGTTCAGACGCTGCAACTACCCCCGAGTGAGTCCCCAAGGGGTCGTCGAGATCGTGGAGGAATGCGGCCGGTACTCACGGTAAGGACACTTTTTATTTCAACCATTCTTATTTCCGCGGCCTCTGCCTCTCATTTCTTCCATCCAACCCGTCTATCCCTTTTTCGTCCTTGTCGCCTCATCCACCTTCACCCGACCCTTCAAAATTATTCAGAGACGCTTGAATGCTACGTTAACCGAACTTTAAATATTAAAATTTACATTTTATTAGCGACGATCCTCCACCTCCCAGTTCACATGACTCCGCAAATGCGCATCCTTAAACTCCACTTAAACTCTGAACTTAAAAAAAAAACTTGTCCATGCACGTGCTCAGATAACAATGCTGTATCTACCTATTTAATAACCAGTTAATCCAATATTTAAACTTTCTGCAAACTCTTCGCACAAAGGACTTAATTTTTATAATTGTCTTCTGTTGCTCTTTCCTTAAATGTAACTTTTATTAACTTTCATAATATTATACGAATAATATTAACAATGACAATTATACACCAAAAAACTAATTGGAATCTTCTTAATTCAGATAAATTATGTTTTTACTTAAAGAAAAACCACTTATTAAAAAATTAGTTATTTATTCCGAAATAATCATTCCAGTTGATTTCACCAAAAATTATTAAAAAGTATTTAATATTATTGATTTGGAATTTTCTTAAGTAAATTCTTGTAAAATCGCTTAAAAAATCCTTAATCCAATCATTTTCTCGTATTTTAAGATTAATAAAGTAATTTTTGATTTACAGAAGTCATTATCAAATATTGGGGTAAACCCTTCATCTGCTCATTTAAGCTCTTTCATACTGATATTTATGGATTTATATAATGATAAGATTAACAAATATTTGCAATTTCACATAATACGTATAATCTGTGACATAACTGACTACTCTTAAGAACTATTAAATCTTATCAACTAACTAAGCAATCTGTCAAATTCGTATATGAGTATAACGAGCCGATGAATGTAGCCTGTAATATTTAGAGATTAGTGTAGAGATTTGTAAAGATACTAGCTAATCTATAAATCGTGCGAAATTTGTGCCACGTCAGATCTGCGTGAAACTACTTCTCTACCAAGAATTTCTCCCTTATCATTTCATAATAATTATCATTATAATATTCGTATTAGTTCATTGCTTTTATTGTTTATTTTGTAAAAGTTACACATCTCGTCTATAAAGAAAATAATAGTAGTTGCTCAGTAATTTAAATATTATTATTAATTATCATTTTTTATTTACGTTTTTTATTGGGTCAAAGATTTATCGACCAAAGTCTTTCAGTCCGGTCATTTTTCAAATTAGTTATAAAAGATATTTTTTAGTTTTATTATGACTAGTTTTCAATTAACTGCATGATTATTCAATGTTAAAAAAGAACTGTGTTTAAAGTTGTCAAGAAGGTTGCTTATATATTTTGCAAGATACGTCCGATGAAAAAGATAACTCTGTCACCGGAAATGAAAATTATTTCGACGCTGTGGAAATTTTAATTAAACCGTATTTCCCTCCGACCCTTACAACTTTTTTTTACGACTATTTGTATATTTTATTTTTATTTTGTGCCTTCGCTCCGTCTTTTTTTTGCTCCTCTTCTACTTCTTGCAGTGACGTCGTGTGCCGTCAGGAAACTTTTCCTGGCTTTATGTCGCCGGCAATTTAATTTATTAATAATAAAGCGGACAGAGGACGGTGGAAAAAATCCTGAACAAGCCAAGTCGAATAAAACGCGCTTAATTCTTTATTGCGCAAAAATTTTAATTGAATTAATTTTACACGGCGATTCCGAGCTGAGCAGAACGGTTTGTCGGATTAATTAATAATTATGGACATTCCTACATCTAATAAGTAAACCTAATTATTTCGGTGCAGTTAACGTCAGGCTCTCTTTTTTAATTTCATTTTACTTTTAATTGGACGCAGAATTTGGTGAATGAAGAGTTTCTCAGTTGAGGAAAACAATGCTATTCTTCACTTTCTTCTTTCCAGCATAATTCTTTACAAATTTATTAAAACTTTGCAATATTTTTTTCATATCTTTGATTATAGAAGTTATGTTAGAATTTAATTAAATTCCATAAACACACATTATTATTAATATTTTTATATTGTAGTAAGAATAATCAATTAATTAATATATATTTACTATATTTTAATTATTTAATTGAAATTTCTTAATTGTTTTAGTTATTCTATTTATCCTAATCATTTTCAATTCATCCAAACTTTCCTTGATTATGATTCGAAATTACTTCTTTCTTTCTTTCTTTCTTCTTAGTTACTTTATATAACTGTAGGATAATAAATATTTATATTATGATAATTGTAGTCATTAAAATCATTCGTTTAACCCTTTGTGGGTTATTGGCGGATATATCCGCCATATCCTTTACTTCAGACGTTAAAACTTAACGTTAATTTTGTAGAGGCGCCACTTGTATTACCGAAATACGCAAAGTCAGCAAAGGGTTAAATAAAATATTTGCAATGATTTTAGTTTTCATCCGAATTCAAGACTGTAGTTGAATTTTTTAAAAATTTATTTATCTTTTGTTTTGTTTTTCGTTCTTAAAATGTAACGTATAGGATGAATATAACAATAATTTATAACTTATAGAAGAAATTGAAGTGAACAATATTAAAAAAAGCAACTTTATAAGATTTTGTATTTGATACAAAAAAGTTTCCATTAGAATTGAGTTAACAAAATACTTTTCAGTCCTTTTTCACAGAAATTTGTTTAAATTCCGCTTTTCAAACACATACATTTTTTGTATATAATGGAGACGTGTGGTAGTAAAGCTTAAAAAGAAATAATTATAGTGTGTCTGCGCATGAAGCTGTGGTATTAAAGTGGAGGAGACATTTCAATGAACAACAACAGAAAATCGTCGGCGACAAACGCAATATATATTAGTTGAAAAAGGGATTGTTTGAGTTTCGGTAAATTAAACAAAAGTTGACACCCCAACGTCATGGCCCACGTAAACACGCCGATTCCGACGTCGCATAAATAAAATCCCCTTAAAATGCTGTCACGAACTGTAAACAATATTTCAAAACGTTTTTCCTTTCCCGCCTTTCATTTTACGCTGTATCCTTGTATTTTTTTCTCTTCTCCCTTATAAATATATATTTTATTTTTGCTCCAAACGTTTTTTTCTAATTAATCGCGATTTTCCGTGCGAGCTGCGAATTGGATTCGCGAAAAAACGAAATAGAATTATTCGGGGAAATTCAAGTGGAAAATGTGATTTTTTTGCTACTCTCAATTTGGGTCGTTTTTAGGTGGTCTTTGTTAGAGTATTTCAATTCTTCAGTTTTGTATTTTTATTAATCATTGCAATAAGTATTTTTGCTCTTGTATTTTTTTTTAGAGTTGGATGATCTCCTTTCAAAGGGGGTGGAATGTAACTATGCGGTTAGATTTATTTTAAGCGGCTCAAATGCTTCTGGTGCAGGCGCATTTAATTTATAACTGTGCATCTATACGTCTTGTGGGGGAGAGTATAAATTATTTGTTTTGCCTCGAGGGATATAAATTCGTTGATATTCGAGTGGCCAAAGGGGTTGGTCCGTCCAATCCAATGAAGTTCCGACCTCCGCCGTTCCGCAACGCACCATCCCCGGTTCCAAATTCACCCGTCCCTGTTCAAAGCCGACTTATTTACTGATGCACTTTGGAATATTTGCTCCAATTGCACAAATCCTGGCCAAACTCCTGGCTCGACCGAAACCTATATTAATTACAGGATGCACGGACGGAAGAAAATAATTAATGCACGGATGGGGAGATTGGCGAGAACGAAGGGTCGTTGATGGTTGTACCCAATCCTCACTCCTCTCCATCAACCCCCCCCCCTCGACCAAACCTATCGAAAAGGGGGGACATCGTGTATTGGGTACACTCTTCGGACGCGGACCCGAAATTATCAACTACCGTTGACAACATGATTATTCTATGCACTAATTGGCATAAATTCATATTAAACCATTTACATTCATCATCGATACACAATGGGTAATTATAATTAGAATGTGTATTTCGCGGATGCCACATTCGCATTGTACCCACGGGTGCCATTCAACATTTTGCACGTTTTTTATTGGTTTGTTTCATTCCACATCCATCTCCAATTTATATTAATTTGTACTATTTATAACAATCTATTTGTAAATGAAAATTGGAAAGCTTACAAAACATGAAATGTATTCAAATTGATATTACTATAATATTTGTCAGTTTTTCTAACAAAACTTACCCTATGATACAGTCAAATTAAGTATATCCTTCTAAAAACATGTTCGATCATACGTACATTATCTACAGCACATTGTCCGAAGTAACGTACAAATACATACAAACATACGAACGTGCAATATAATTGTTCGTTTGAAAAAATTTTTTTTGCAATAATTAGGAATAAATATAATAATCCGTATATATTAAATATATTAAACTTGATGTAAATATAATATATTTGTCACCAGGAATTCACCTTTTCCGAAGAATTTACCTAATAATTTTCAAGAAATCCTGAAATTAAACCAATAACAAAATAATACAGATTAACTGCACATCCTTTTAAACGAACGTGCAATTATGTTAATTTGAATGTTTGATGACAGAAGAGAATTTGCATTAATTTGTAAAACTGATGTATTTCTGGTTAATAACACTTTCCGATAATTAGGAATTAATAAGATAATCCTTACACATTAAATATATTAAACTTGATGTAAATTTAATATATTTCTCACTTCAGATCTAGTTTACTCACAGAACTTGATAAGGTAAGTTCGTGAAATCATCAAATTAATAGCACAATAATATTTGATGCACGGATGATTTATTTTTTTCTGAAAAGCTGAGGTTTTCTTACTTTTCAATAATTAAGATTGATTAAAATAATACTTATGTAATCATTTAATTTTTTATTAACATTGCATATTTTTACTTATAAATTGCAACGTTTTTAGTTAATGAAATGACATTTACAGTGAAGAATCTCTGACAGATATAATAGATTGAGACTTTCTCGTTGGAAAAGCTTAGCTTAGTTTCGCACGATCTGTAGATTAGCAGATCGTTCCAAAACAAAAAAATAAATCTCTCCACTCATCT